ATACAAACCGAGTACGAGATAACTCGAGACAGCAGAAGATTTTACGATTTGATGTACGAATGAAGTTACGTTGAAGCGTATAGTATACACAGCCTGGTCATTTCAGAAGAGAAAAGCAATTTTAGCCAACGGTATACACTTATTCACGGTGGCAAAGCTTAAAAAGTTTGAAGCCTTTTGTTCTCCGCATGCCTCATTTGAATAAGAATATATGAGCTCGACGCTGTTGCGATGCGATGAAAATTGTTAGGATCCCTAGCTGCGGCGAGATTCATTTTACTGAAGGTTCGCTTTCACTATTATAGCCGCGTGTGCCGATCCGTTTGAGAGGCATCTCTCGAAGATTAATCGGCCTCTAAAGTTTCACGTGTTAAAATTTCTTCATCTTTTCCAAGTTTCCGAGATCGTGACTTAGATAGTCAATCGATAATTCTACATCTTTAGCGAAGCCGATGCTGCTCCTTGTATTATATTGAGCTGAAAAATCTCGGAACAATTTCTCGCGAAACATCTGCAACGACATAAATTCGACCGCGCATCGTTATGCGCTCAAAACTACGCGTATAACGAGGACGCTCTTTCTGTTCTTTTGCGTACATCCAGGATATATTACTTGCTCGGTCCAATTATAAAAATGGCAAAAAAAACTAATGTAACTGCATTCTTTCACTCTGGAGTTCTTTTTCATTTTTAGCTTCTTTCCATTGGCGCGTAATATGGCGCACAACGAGTTGCAGGCAACGGCAGCATTTTCTATCGGACCTCCTTTTTTCTTTCTCTTTCTCTCTAAAGCGAGTACTAACAGCAGCCCCCGGAGCTGACGTGTATAAGACGCGATCAAGCGAATTTTCTTCATTCAGCTATATACGCTCAAAGGCTACCGTTGCGCGCTAAACTATTTATATATATAGCGCATGTAGCCAAGTTCTTTGTCACAAATTTTTATTTTTTCTCTTTCTTTTTATATGCGCACTGAGAAAAAGAAAAGCATAGGTGGCGTGCTCAAGACGTTCCGTGGCCAAACCCGAAGTGAGGACATTCAATGCGCTACGCCTATAATCTCGAGATCAGGTTCTAGCCCGCACAAAAAAACACAATTTACTCAAAATCTGTCCCAAAAAGTACACTCACAATTATTATATTATTGGATCTCCAGCCGTTGGGTCGTGATTTGATGCATTAGCTATGTATTCGTTGTGTGTAGCCATTACGCCTTCAGTCTCTTGGTGCAAGAATTTGATTTGATCGCGCGCGGATTATCTAATATGTCAAAATCGAATACGCGTTTCCAGCTCACTCGATAAATTGCTACAAAATTCCTTCTATTTGTTATGGTCTTATTCTATATTTTGTGGACTCTATCAATTTATGATATCACCATGTTTTGTAAAATTGAATACCCAAAAATAAAACCTTGCACGGCCGTCCTCATTTCTAGACGGACAACAAGTTTGTTGTGAAAAAAAGATAGTTAGAGTTTCTCAAGTCTAGAGTGTAAATTCATTTTGAATGAATCATGGCATAATTCGTAATATCATTCAGCTGGAGATTAGAAATAATTTACGTAAATATGCTTTGCGCGTCTTAGCGATGATATTATGTAAATGATCGGATGAAAGTGGTCACCGGGTTCGATCGTTTTAAAAAACACCCATTGTGCACTGCACTTCACTTCGACCGATCGAATCCAAGAATTCATTACGCGACCGTTTACTCAACCTGTCATACGCGAGCATAATTTATCTTTATTGTCTTAAGTGCACGATATGATATCGAAAATTTACCAGTCAGATAAAATATTTCAGCACATATTTTCCAGACAGTGGAAAAACGCGGAATGGGAATGTCTCGGATACTCCTCTCACATATAGAAGAAGAAATTTTCGATTTTATTGACACTGCTTATTGTTTTTTTGCAACGACGCCGACATTGCGAGCACCACTTTGTGTGTCTTCGTAAAGATGCACGACTATCAAATCAGGCGAAACGAAATGAGAGCGCGCCAAGAGAAAAAAACTTTGCCTGCATGCAACGTCCACTCACACACATACGTATAATCGAGATAGACAAACTACATCGTGAAGAAAAACTGGACAGAAAAATAGTAGATAAAAAAGTGCAGAGGCGAGGCGAAGGGCTGGCATGTACTGTACACTATGCACAGCAAGAAAGAAGAAATTAAAGAAAAGGAGCTGAGAAAGTAGAGGCTGTGTAGGTAGAAACCGGAGCAGTAGAAGCAGTAGCTAAGAAATAGCTCGAACGGCTGCCGAAGACGAGGCAGCGCGCAAGAAATTGAAAGAGAGAGAATAAGAAAGACGCGTGTAATAGCTCCAAAAGTCCGGGGATTTGAAGGTGGGCCAAACTCATTCCGGACTTGGCTTGCACAACTACTGCAGCAGCTCATACGTATATTCTATAGATATAGCAGCAACTAGCGTTGCCTATATTACGCGCTTTTTCTCTGAATTATTTTCCGCAGAGTCGCAGCAACGTACGCAGGCCATCACGGCATTTCACAATCAGTACAAGAATGAAGAAACCTCGACTCGTGCGGAGTTCCGCGTGCAGCGAGATAATTTGCTCAGAGAGATCGTTTGTCGGGCACTTTTTTGACTGCATCCTCGCTTCCTTGTATACAAATACGTATAAAGATACATTATGAGCAAGCCTGAGCGACTAAAAGGCCATTCCGCGCGGCTAATCATGCTGTAGCACGAAGCAGCTGCGATGATGCGCTGATAGTACGATTTCCATAACGATGAACCAAAGCAGCATTCGAGCTAGCTTATCGCATTATATGCAGGGCCTATAAATAAGAGGCTTTTTCTCCCGTTACAGCTCGTTGTCATCGTCGTCGCGAGTCGACGGCCAAGATAAGCAACGCGCCTGGAGTTAGCCATTATTTTGTTTTAATGTGTTTACATTGATGAGCCAGTGATGCGACTATTATGATACACTAACATTTACATGTATAGACACGCATATAAGCCTCTCCTGCTCTATAGAATTTTAGCTCGGGTGCTTTCATTTACATATTATAAATAGCTTTATTACGCGTCGCTTGTATACTTCTTAAATTGACAACTTATTCATGCATAGCAGATCGTTGTCTGTGAAGCTGCTGCCGATACGAGCGCAGCAAAGAATTATCAACGCTTCCGCGACGCGACCGCGCAAGATTTCGATATTTAATAAATATAAAGCACCTTCGTGTTATTGGTTACATGTGTGAGCCGTAAATCACGATAAAGAGCGCTCCAAAGATGATTACATTTTTTGTTTTCACGGACATGCTTGGATGTCGCTTTATCCCGGTCGAAAGATAGAGAGAAGAGTCGAGAGAGAGAAAGAGAGAGAGAGGAGAGAGAGAAGATCTGCTTGTCATGTTTATTTATTCGATATTATGTGCAAGTATCCGCAGCCCGGAGAATCGAAACAATCGAGCGATTTATCTCTTGCGAAAAAAATGTCTTTTTTTTCATCAACTCTTACATTCAAGTCAAAAAAAGGACAACACGAACGCGTCCAAGGCTTCGGAAGCTTTTGTTCGAGCAGAAAATTTCAGCGATTAAGACTCGACCCACGTGCAATATAAGCGTAATCTCTGCATATATTCCAAGTCAGTGTATGCGTCAGCATGTATACTGGATAAATAAAAGCAAAATGTATAGAGTTTTCGTGCAGACTTTGTAAGCTGTGGCTGTTATGCGAGGCAAAGTTCTAAATTGAAGCTGTTATAATGAATATCCCGATGGGACGAGTACGAGATCATAATGTGCCTGGAGATTCGATCCGTCTCTTCTCCTCAATCCACTTCCTCTGTCGTCCTCCGCTGACAGCATCGCCTGTCACTTTTTATTTCGTCCCGGTATAAACACAGCCACGACTCAGGCTGCAGGGCGAAGGGACCATTTTGCATGCGCATAGGTATTGCCGGGTCGATGCGACGACGAGCCGCTCTCGTTATTTACTTAGCATAATGAAGATTAAAAAAGGGCGAGAGTACAGCAGAGTGAAATTGGTTAAAGCGCGCGCAGTCGCACCCATGAGAGGGATTTCGTTCGCTTTTCGGGAGGGTCCCTAAAAATCTCGATTCGACGCACACCAGGCAGGCTCGTCTCGCTTCACAGCTACACACGCGCTTACTTCATTAGTGGTTTGGCGCGATCAAATTTTTCACTTAGGCTCATCTGCTCGGGAAAGATGATGCGTATAAATCAACATATACGCTTAACGCGCAGAGCGCCATACAGGAGACGTTTAGCCTTTTAATACACTGCACATTTACGCACGCGCCTAGCTTAATAAAACACGCTTATATGTGCGTTTGTAAACTCGTTCGGGTTGCTGACTTGCCTGCACACTTACTCGGTTGCTTTCAATTAAATTACTTGGAGCGAAATTGCGCATCGAAGCCCGACGTAGGTATACGGTCGACTATGCGCTCGACTATATTCTACCACTATGGCTTTGAGTTATTTTGGAAAATATACAAACTCACCTCTAGCACTCCACACAAAAAATGATTCAAACGAGCCCTGAGTCGAGTGTTTTAAATTATCTGCAAAATTTAATTGCGGTTATCTGGATAAATCAAAGCAAAGATTTTTCTCTGGTGCAGTAGATTTCATTGCGATTCTGAATTGTTTTTTTTTACATCCCAAAGTGCCTACATAATTATTGCGTGTACGGTAGCACGGCCCGAGAAGTACGTGTTTATATAAACGAACACTTCATTCTGGTATTTTTCCTATCTGTCAAAAAGACATCGCGCACATAAATTTTACTTAAGCATATACGCAAACGAGTTTCTCAAACATACAGCAATGTTTCTATCCTAATGACTAAGAAGTATATATAAGCTCGCGTATATAGCATGAACGGGCAACATATAACGAGATATTTGAGTAGGAGCGCGAGTTGCGTATCAGTTTGAGAAAGACAGAGCTAAAAAGAGAGAGAGAGAAAAGAGAAAAGAGACGTTGCATTATATACTTACTTAAATGAGGAAAACCGGGGCCAAATGTGCGTCGAGCTAAAGTGCACATTCGCGTTCCTTTTTAACCAGTCGTCGTCTCTCTCAAGCTCTCTAAGATCTTCTCTCTGAAATCAGAAAATTTCAAACGTAAATTTTCTCCAGCACCGAGTAAGTAAAAGAACGAGCGCAAGATAAGATGAGCGTAAGTTATATGGAGTACCTACATACACACACGTATACTCAGATAATAATGTGCATTTATATGAATGCGTTTGAGGTAAAGTTCAATCAGTGTGGCCATGTTGCCGGAATGCTGAATGCAAATTCCCGATACATTAAATACCTACCGCCACGGGTATTTTACCTGAATTGTATAGCAAAATAGCGAATTCTGCTTTTAGGAATGGCATTTTTTTCTTCCACATTCATTCATTACTCATTTCATAATTTCATTTAACTCAAAAAATAGTCTCGTTTATGAAAATTGATTTTTAAAAGTCCCTACTCACTCCGCATAACTAACAGCAGAAAAGACAATCGGAATTGCGAAACGCTAACAATACAAAACTACCAATGCTTTTTTAAGAGAGAAGTGCCATTGGTCATGATAACCAGTAGATTCGAAGTGATCAGACGTTACCATGGGAGTTGTATATTGCATCATGGACCCAGAGTGTGTTGAAGATAAGCGGATACCTTAATTATTTATCAAAGCCATCGAAACGTGTCTCGATGTGAAAAGAGAGAATGAAAAAGGAAAGAAATAAGAAGGACAAGAATTTCGACAAAGGACGTGCAATGTTTCGTTCCTCTCTCGGTCTCTTTTGCCGATAAAAGCATAAAAGCCGCAGCTGATGCACGCAGACTGCGTGTACACCGTTGCATGGGTCTCGAGGCAACGAAATAAAAGCGCCAGTCGAAAATGTAGCGTCTTTTTGCAAAGAGGGGATATGCGCTTACATGGGCCTCGACACGCGCGCCCAACAATCCGTGCGTTATAAGATTAGACAATGTACGAATCTAATCGACATGCGGCCAAGACAGAGCCAGCAAAAGCGAAGCGGATAGTCGTTGTCGTCGTCGTCAGTTATAGTCTCAACACAGACGCGGACGCATACGTGAGCGCATGTCGTTGGGCGGTCGTGTGGAGCCGAGCAAGCAGTGCACGACTCTGTATACCTATATAACACAGTACCTCGATGAGATAAAGTTGGGCTAAGCGCCCTGATCAACTCCTCTCTCTCTCTCTCGCATAACTCCGAGATAACAACGCGTCGTCATAGTCCCAGAGTCCTCCGACACCGCCTCCGTCGCCCATATATATACAGTGTACTTCGTCCTCTCGTTCTCGTACAACAAGGGAGATAACTTTCGACCCTCTCGAGACATGGCTTCGAGTGAGTCTGAGCAGTATGAGGTGAGCGTGGCGCGCGTGTGTTCGCCGTTCGGCTAAATGGTAATACGTATAGGACGCGCGAGTGCATATATATACAGAGCCGCACGCCGAGTCTCGCGCTCGCACAGTAATTGACAGTACTTGTTCGTATAGTTTATGCAGGCATATAGATGCGCGCGAGCATGCCACACTGTACCTTCTATGCCAGTCAATATGTACGCGCGTACTCGCGGCTCTATAGGTTTATAACTATGCCTAATGCTTCCGCTATACATAGTTGCGAGAGAAATAGAAGAAGACAAGTACAGGATAACACCAAAAGTCAAGACTGTCGTTGTCAACGTGAGCTACTTCTCGTTAAAGATCGCATGCTCCTGCAACGCCCGAGAATCGTCACGCTCGATTTTAATAACCATTGTAGCATATGTATAGGATCTAGCATACTTTAGCAACGAGTACAAAAATCCTGTACACGATTTATCGCTACAGTAAAAAACATTTCTCTCGTTCTGTCTGCATAATTTTTTTTGACAAAGCTAAGAAGATATACATCACATCAAGCTACTGGGTGCAATATTACTGGCTTCAAAAGCGAGACAGGTGGACAAAAAAGTACCATATTGTTTGAAAATGTAAAAAAAGAGCTGTAGCATAAACCTTATATAAATTCGGTTGAGTAGACTTTACGAGCAAACATTTTTTATAAGTTCATTCTTTCGTATTGTGTAAAAGCTGCACAGGCTGGTGCAGCAAAAAACCCACCTGCTGCGATCTCTTAAAGTCCGAGGAAGAAGTTTCAGTGCTATATAGGCTCAGGTGGGTTCTTACTTTTGATCTTTCTGAACACCTGAATTTTGTGTACTCGAGAACGAGTTAATCGTTAAGAACTTGAAAACGAAGTTAGTCAATCCCGGGCTCTCCTGACACGAGGTACGTGTCGTACACATTAGTTGGTAAAAAAACTGTGTAAAAGGCGTGAAGAGAACAGGCCACAGAAATGTTCGAGAGCTACCTACCGCACGAGCCAACACCCCCCCTGTGCTGCTCTGTCCAAGGCTAGACTTTGTAGGCGTATGGAGGGTCTAATTAGACGAGTCGAGCTTTGCCTGACTATCCTCCTCCTCCCTTTTCGTATTCGGCTCTTCTGACTTACTACAGCAGTGGGATAATATATAGCTACGGGCTATGCACCGCCGTTTACAATACAGGGCACGGGGAATTTTAATTATACGTTCCAATGATACTCGTCGATTTGAATAAATGTGGTGGTCCCAGCTGGCAGCTGCGTACATTCTCCGACTAATAGTACACGCGGAGGAAAAAATCTTACTCGTGGATAGCGTGTACTCGTGTAGAAGTGAAGCGATAATGATTAGGTAGCCTTGACATATAGCAGGGCTCGTTCTTGTTCGATACTACACGATCGGTATCCATGAATCATCGCGGCGATCGGGACAAAAGTGCCGTGTAATGCAGCAAAATCTACAAGCTCGGACACGCAATCGTCCGCAGAGTCTAATTATTAGCAAGCGCGTGCGCACGACTCCGAGGAGAGAAAGTGCGAGCGATCGAGCATGAAAAGAGAATCGCGAAAATCGGCCAATCCAAAGTAATCATATACGGCGGAGGAATCTGCCGCTGCTGCATGAATACCATACGTCAGCTGTACCGTGAGTCGTTTGTTTCGCGAGCTCCCATAAATTTCTTCAAAAGTACAGGTCTTGGGCCCAAGAGAAACAAAGAAAATAAGAAATGTGCGCGACCGAATCCGGCCAACAATCAGGCTAAAAGACCATTCGTCACTGCGATCTGCCAAGTGGCTATATGATGCACATGCTCGGTGCCTACGTGTCTCCTATACATATTACATGCAACGGCAGTATTAAGAAAGAGAGCCGCAAAGCGGATATAGTCATTGTGCTCGCGCATACGTGATATCGCAAAGCTATATACTGATGTTCGGTGCTTTTGCTGCTGCTACTGCTGTTCGTGCACGCGACTACTGTAAGGTAGCAATCCATGATTCGAACATTACTCATCTATCTTCGAGCGGCGGCGTATCCGATCCGTTTGTCATCGGCTTCTATTCCGCACGACTGCAAGAAGAGCCCTGTACCAGTCCTCGGTAGTGCACAGCTTCTCTATGTACAGCAGGCGTACTACCGTAACCTTCCTTAATTCCGTCCAAGAGCTGCAGGAGCAGCTTTTCCAGAGGATCTGCTCTCTGTGTCTCTGTACTCTTTCTCTCTCTCTCTCTCTATTTCGGCATCAGAAAATGGATATCTCTGTGTAGTTCGTGAGTAGAGCGCAAAGCTCGAGTACGTCTTTGGGAAAGTCAGCCTTTCTCAATTTCCTGCGAGAGCCCGGAGTTGAGGTCGGAAGAGGATACCGTACGCTACCCGAGAGCAATGTGCTCGAAGGATTACTTTTTTGAGTTTTTTTTGTCAAGCGGTTTGTCTAATCAAACTATGCCTTCTATATTTTTACAAAGTTGTAAGACGGTCTTGTGTAAAATTGTATACGGTAATTTTTCATAAATAACTTATTGATAAGTATTTAATTTTTATATTTTACATGCATCCATTTTATCGTTTTTTTCTGTTCCACTCAAAGTTTCGTTTGTCAATATTTATAATGTTTTTCAAGTACAAAATGAGCTTTAATTATATCTTATTGTCATGCTTGAATTTTGGCGATTATTTTATTTACATAGCATTTGCAGGCATAAAATGTATGACGTCGATTTTCCTTGATATGAACGTTGAAATGACTAAAATTTAAAGAAAATTATTCTAGGAAATATAAATTCTATAAAACTTTAATATGTAAGGAGAAATTAAAATAACAATTCAAAAATGAAATTACTAATTACCGATACTAATATTAAAATATTACAATTTGTAAAATCAAACTAAATTTAATCATTGATAGCTGTATGCAATACAAGCAAATGAAATAAAAATTTTCATTTAATATTTGAAAAAAGCAATATTTGAAACTTCTTCAATCATGAAGCTAGGTGAAAAATGTGAAAGTAAGCCCGTACAACACCTAAACGATGCGTACTTAAAAATTAAGTTTTATTGAAGCCACCGAACGATTAAACTCAAATGTACCAGTAGTATAAAAACAGTTGTCGCACGAAATGGTGATTGTTTGAATGCATTGCACATGTCTAGCCTCTCACAGACTCGTAAACGGTGTTTAAATCGAGCTTAAAAGTAAAATTATTCGCTCGCGAGTACATGCATGTACGTGCGGCTTCGTCGCTGAATCGTGGCTATAAAGCATCGAATAACTACTCTCCTCGTACGCATATACAAACAAATATGCGCACCGCTCGCGACTTAGTGCTAACGAGGTAAGCTACGGAAGTTATAAACGCTGCGTGACTCGAGTGAGCCCGACTTGGCAATAATTTACAAAGACTATCTGGCTACAATTTTAAATGCTCGAGAGCAACGCAGATAATAGTTGGTACGTTGGCAAGTGCATAGGGAAGGCGCGTGTACGTGTGTGTAATTGCAGACTGCTGCGTGTGGTCCAGAGGAGCCTTAATCTCTCCGAGTCCAACGGGCCGCACAATTTGTCCGTCGTCGCCAGGGCATCCCTCAGCCCGAATCGTGTGGTTTCGGCTGCGTGCAACTGCCCGAGATATCTCTGCTTTATACGCACCGAAACAAAACGAATTTCGATGTATAACGCGTATCTCTTTCAGACCGCGGCTTC